CTGTTATGACATATGCCAGAAGCCATACATTTCGCATATAGTGTCATTAGCCAAATAAAAGTATCAGATAATAATCAATCATACTGGTAAATGAATATTAAAGCACCCAGTTTTAAATAAAGAAGTTAATTGGCAAAGTAAATGTATATTATAATATAATATAGAATAGACAAATAAGAACCACTAACTGGGTAGAAATTAATAACCACATGGTAAAAGGCAAACAGGCTGAGATAAATACAATAAAAAATCAACCTAAAATGTAACAGATATGTGATGCCATAACTGATATAAAGGACAAATATAAAAACGAGTGTACCAAGGTCAGGATAAAATAACACGAATGTTCATAAATACTTAAATCTGAAAGGATCATCACTAAAATAATTATGAATACATAGGCCAACCATAATGGAAGGATAAAAAAGGGGGGAAGAGAGGGGGGGCATAAATAAAATAAAATTAGATGTAAAAATAAGATATAAAAAGTTATTAAAGGGAAAGGCATGGGACAAGAGAACTTAACTATTGTCGATAAAACAGTTTACATTGATTTCAATGTTGAGTCCCGCTGGATGTAAAGTATCCAATTCATTTATGAGTCTGGTCTCTAATTGAGAGACTGCCCTCGTTTTAAATGTCCCTCTCCAATGGGAAATAACCGTGTCTATGCCAATACATTTCAAACTAGTTGGATCCCTATTGTGGTGTCGCCTGTAATGTAAGGATAGCGAATGTTCTTTGTATCCTTTCTTTATGGTATTGATGTGTTCTCGGAGACGATCCCTAAGTCTCCTGGTTGTCCTTCCCACGTACTGTTTGGAACACGGACATTCTAGTAGATATACTACGTATTTGCTATTACAGCAAATAAACGTATCTATCTTATAGGATCTACTAGTTTGATTAGATGCAAAGGTATTGATTTTCTTTTTTCTTATACCATTACATTTGCAGGCAATGCATTTGTTGCACGGGAAGAAACCAGTAAAGTTAAATAATGATGGTGATTGGATAGGTGATGTGACAATATTAGGTGCTATCTTATCTCTTAGGGTAGCAGACCTCCGGAAGATGAGTTCTGGTATATCAGGCAGTATTTTTTTTGCTGGTGAGGTATCGGCCTTTAAAATACCCCAGTTCTTTTTGACAATGTGTCTGATCGACCTATGTTGACTGAATAGATGGTGATAAAGGGACATACCAAATTTTTTGGAGGTTTAGTTTTAGTGCTGAGTAGGTCTTCCCTATTCATATTTGCTACAGTCTCAAGAGTATCGGTTAAAATCTCGTTATTATAACCTTTTTAAAGAAATCTGTCTTTTAATATAACAGCCTGTGAATAATAGGTGTTAACCTCTGTACAGTTCCTCCTGAGCCTAAGCAACTGTCCTTTGGGAATGTTGGCGAGACAATTAGGATGATGACAACTTCCCAGGGGGATATAGCTGTTACGGTCCGTTGATTTGAAAAAGGATTTAGTGATTATATGCCCATTTGAATTCAACAAAGTAAGGTCTAGGAAGTCAGTCTCAGTAATACTATAGTTAAAGGGCAATTTAATATTCATTTTATTATTATCGAGTGTATTAAAAAAGTTTAAAAGAGATTGTTCAGTACCATTTCAAAGTAAAAGCACATCATCTATATAGCGTTTATAAAATGACCATTCTGGCCACTCCATCGCATAAATATTGTCCTCCTCCCAATAGGACATAAAGAGGTTTGCTAAACTGGGGTGTCATGCACCGCCTGGCGGAGTCTCTAGAAACCCACAGCGCGGGGTTCCTCAGGGCGCGGGGTCTAAGTCCCAATCTGCTTATTCACCAGGGCCCCTGATGGTGGGGATGGACTTGGAGCAGACTGAGACCAGGTCGCGACCCCCGAGTACGTCCGGCAGTGGTAGAGAGCACCGTCAGGGGTGTGTGGGAAATAGAGCCTGACGTGAAGAGGCTGGCAGGCCTGGTAACAGGGACAGATCCGTGCGGGATGGATCGTCAGGGTAGCGTAAGGAGTAGTCAGGTAGGCCAGGTCAGCAATGTGCGGGCAGCGAGGTACCAGAGGAGCAGGCAGAGAATGGTCAGGGTCACGAGCCGGGTTCAGCAATTACCGGGCAGCGTGGTACAGAGGATCAGGCAGAAGAATGGTCGGGTCAAGCCAGGGGTCAAGCAGGAGACAATCAGCAGGGTCAGGATCAAATGCAGAGGTCGGCAACAGGAAGCTTCTCAGGATCAGAATACAGGAACAGGACAATAAGACCAAACGGCAACTTGTGTCTGTGCAGGGCTGGTTTAAATAGCCCGCCCGGCACTGACAGGTGCGCCTGGGTCCTAGTGCCTGCCAGCGCCGTCATAGGTGACAGGCGCGCCTGGGTCCTAGTGCCCGCCTACCTGCATGTCTTGTCGGACACCTACGCATGTGCAGACTCGTGCGTCGCGGTGATCCCTGACATGGGGGCAAATTTTGCCCCCATAGCAACACCTCTAACCTGCAAGAAGTAATTATTGTCGAACCACATGTAGTTCATATATATATATATATATATATGTGTGTGTGATTGAGCCTGAACCTGTTTAGGAGCATGCAGCGCACCCCTCCGGTAGACACAGCAGATCACTGTTACCAGTATCCATGAACAGGGTATCATGTAATCGTTATGATTGGTCATGAATGGTTTCCCATTCATAAACAGCTTGCTTACTGTTGTGATCTGTGATTGGTCCACAACAATCATATGGTACCTGGCTACCTGTACCATGTGATTAGCTTAGCCAATCACAGATCAAAATCAAAAGCAAGCTGTTCATGAATGGAAATGAGAAACCCATTCATGACAGCTAAATCTTCACTTATAAGCAATAACGGGTAAAAAATGGGTAACGGGTACAAATAAAATCCCCAATCACACCCCCCCCCCCCCCCTAGAGTAGTAGTGTCACTATGGTGATGCTGAGTTACTCTGATGATGGAATTTAAAAAAAATAGTAAAAAGTTGAATAATCACTGCCACACCAATCGTACAGTGATGCTGTACTGCCATGCCTCTTACTAAACACCTCAGACTGTCTACTTTCCAAAAAGGGGTCATTTGGGTGGTAATTGTACTGTCCTGGTGTTTTAGAGCTTCATGAACTGAGACAGGCAGTCAGCAAATCAGGATTGATACATTTTCAAATATATATACCATAGTTTGTAGACGCTACAACTTTCCCACAAACCATTTAATATACACTTAATATACACTTACTGGGATTTTTTTTTTACCAAAGACAAAACAGAATACATTTTGGCCTAAATTTATAAAAAGAAATTGATTTTATTGGACATGTTTTAGAACAGAAAGCAGACAATATTGTTTTGTTTTTTGTTTTTTCAAAATGTTCAGTCTCTTTTTATTTATATAATAAAAAATAAAAAACCCAGAGGTGATCAAATACCAACAAAAGAAAGCTATATTAGTGTGAAAAAAAATGATCAAAACTTCATTTAGATGCAGTGTTTCATGACAGTGCAATTGCCAGTAAAAGTAGCCAAACAGCAAAAAATAGCCTGGTCATGAAGGGGATAAAACCTTTAGGGAGCTCAAGTGGTTAAAACAACTCTTTCTTTTGTCAATGTTTACAGAAACCATTGCCAAATATGATCAATTCCTATAAACAACTCACCAGTGCAAGAACGAAACCTGTGCTCTCATCCGTCCCAAAGAGACCCAGTTTTCTCCTTACTCGGTGCTGTCATTTTGCTGTCAATTACAGCCACCATACATCAGTGGCTGGGTGTGGTGGGACAAGAAGGAGAAGAAGGCTCAACAGTTGGCTTTTGTGTTTGAGGCAGCTGATGGAGCAGATTATGAAGGTACCAAAGTATATACTTTGATGACTGAACTTTGTATTACTAAGCACAGTAGTCGATGTTTGTAGGAGGGGCACCATAGATGGTCTGTTCTCCAATATCACCTAAGCACAGTAGTCGATGTTTGTAGGAGGGGCACCATAGATGGTCTGTTCTCCCCTATCACCTATGTTTCCTTCCCTGCCCAATATGTCACCAGAACTCCTGCATGATTCTCCTTTCTCGAACACCAACAGAAAACAGGGGTTGCGGAGAGCTGAAATTATACACTGCAGATTTCAGTAAGGAGAACTGATTGGAGAGAAGGGACACCCCCCTTCACACAGCACAGAAGAACAGAGCTGAGGCTGTCGATCACAGGCTGTGTACTCCCGTCAACCTTTTTTCCCTTGGTGCCAGGAAAACTTGTCAGAAGTGACTCATGCTGATAGCAGAGGAATGAGGCAGTAGACAGAAATGACACTTAGTGCTCTGGATAGAAACAAGTACACACTATAGAGCACATGTGTTAAGCACAAGGCTTGTAGGCCAAATCCGAACCTCCAGGCCATTTCATGTGGCTCTCACACCTCTCCTGTACCTGCAGCACCCCCCTTGTCTCCGCCTCCAACTTGTCTCAGCAGTCAGCAACATAGAGGAGGACAGAACTCCTCCATCAGATCTCTGCAACCCCCTTTCTCAGCAGATCTCCTCCAGATTTCTTGCCTCCCTGTACAACACCCCCTCGTCTCCACCTCCCCTGGTCTCAGCATTAAGCAGATTCCAGCAGCTGACTCCAGCCCTCTTCCTGACCTCCTTCAGACCCTGCACATTCTGCTTCCCAGCTCCTCCCCTATCTTCTTCCCTGCAGCACAAGGTAAGGGGGGTGCACTGGATGTAGGGGAGGGGGTGGAATCCTGATTTCTGATGGTGGGGGGGGGGGGGGGGCTCTTGGCATCTGATGAAAGGGGGGTGGGGTGCTCCAGACATTTAGTTTTAAAGATACAACCACCCTTTGAGGCAACCATAAGGCTGATTCGGCCCACAATGAAATTGGGTTTTACACCCCTCCTATAGAGGGATATGTTTTATTCATGAGATTTACAACCACTTTAACCCACCATATAGTACAATGACGGGTGCAAGGTGGTTCTCTCGTTCTGATTGGTCAACATATGACGTCCTTCCATTCTCACCGCACATGCGCGGCTCAGGGAGCGCGCAGCGCGGCGATCGCCGGTGCACTGTGTCCCTCGGACACAGGGATCACGGAAAGAGCCGAAGATGTCGGCTCGGTCATGTGATCAGCTTTATCCAATCACAGCTGATCACATGTAAACACGGAAATGCTGGTTATTTTTCTCCTCTCGAGCTGTCACGCTGACATATCACATATATGCCACATATCAGTGCCCATCTGAGCTGCCTTTCAATGTCACCCATCAGTGCCAGTCAGTGCCACCTATAGCAATGCCAATCAGTGCCACCTATCAGTGATGACAATCAGTGCCACCTATCAGTTCCAGTCAGTGTTGCCTATCAGTGCGCATCAGTGCCGCCTATCAGTGCCAGTCAGTGCCACCTATCAGTGCCAGTCAGTGCCACCTAACAGTGCCAGTCAGTGCTGCTTAACAGTGCCAGTCAGTGCCGTCTATCAGTGCCAGTCAGTGCTGCCTATCAGTGCCGCCTATCAGTGCCATATATCAGTGTCATGTATCAGTGCTGCCTTTCAGTGCCCATCAGTGATGCCTGTCAATGCCCATCAGTGCAACCTACCAGTGCCTCCTCATCAGTGCCCATCAGTGCCAACTATCAGTGTCCATCAGTGCAGCCTATCAGTGCCCATCACTGCAGCCTCATTAGCGCACATCAGTGAAGGAGAAAAATCACTTATTTACAAAATTGTATAACAAAAACTAAGAAAAAAATGGTTTTTTTTTCAAAATTTTCAGTGGTTTTTGGTTTGTTTAAGAAAAAATTAAAATCCCAGAGGTGATTAAATACCACCAAAAGAAAGCTCTATCTGTCTCAAAAAAATTATAAAAATGTTATATGGGTACAGTGCTGCATGACCGCGCAATTGTCATTCAAATTGTGACAGCGCTGAAAGCTGGAAATTGGCCTGGGCAGGAAGGGGGTATAAGTGCCCCGTAGGTTAAATACATTTGATACAATGTTGTCTTGTTTTGTGTGATGTCCAGAACCATAATTTCCTTTATGTTGATTTCATGTTTATTTGCTCTTTTTCAGCCTTATTTATTCATGATTATTACATTTTTAAAAGTGGTTGTGCTAGTTTTCCATGATTTTTTTTCTCTCCACAGCTAAAAAAGTAACTACATTCTCAATAATGTTTGCTAAATTAACCCTATTCATTCACTTTCACATCGGGCCAGGAGCAATGAAGCACATAATAGTTTATGGCTAAAAATATGTGTGTTCTATATGGGCTTACTGTTTACCATAAAGCACAGATGCAAGAATACAAAGGGAAAAGTGAACGTTTTCTGACTGATTCTGTGAAATCAAGGTTTCAGACAATTACCAAGAAAGAGATCTGTAAAACCATTAAAACATATTGTACAAGAATGAAAGACAACCAGAACCAGCGTGACAAAGGATTACAATGCATTGTTGTGCATTTTCTACTTTGATCAAACTCCATTTCACTAGTCTTTAAAAAGCTATGCTCTGCTTGGGGGATTAAGTGGTGGCTTTCTGTTCTTACTTTATCCGTCTGCTCTGTATAATTGACTCTGTTTCCCATACGTATAAATAGATGTTTAGAGTTGGCTTAGAAAGATAAATAATGAAAAATCAACCATCCATTTTTTAATTAAGGAAGAGTAAGCAATAGACTAGAAAGAATGTTCCTTTTATTCTTCAATTAGATCAAAAGTTATGTTTCGAAAAAAAGAAAGCAGAAAACACATTAAACTGTATGGGTTTTACATTTCATACTGTTTTGTGCACCATTACAGGCAAGCATAATGTTTCAAGGCAAGATGTTGTAATCCAGCATTAAAAGTTCCAGTAAACTTAATGTACAATACAAAGAACTATCAATAATATGTATTTAACAATCTCCATACTTGCACAGACCATAACTGGGCTACCTCCACAAACGTTGCAGAGAGCTTATGTTGCACAAATCCTCTTCTGAGAGAAGCATAAGCCCTGCTTCATTTAGCAATCCCCCCAAAAAAGAGGATTGGTTGGACATTCACTTTCAATGATACTTAAAGTAACATTTTAAAGTGAATATCCAATCAAACCTGTTTTTTGGGGGCATTTCTTAGAAGAGTGAGATCCCCTTTTGGATTTTTATTGCAAGCTGGGACTCCATTAGAAACCATGAAGAATGATTTGTTTTAAAGGCAAATAGACTATTTACTTTGCAAGGGAAGTTGCACTATGCAAGAGAATTTTCCCCAGAGCTAATTGAATGAAGTGAAGCTCTACTGACTTCCATCATCAAATAATGCGCAAGCAAAATTGCTGTTTTTTGTTCTCTGAACGTCATTAGGTCATCTTTGCAAAGTGAAAACGCTTTTGGATTTTTTTTTTTTTTGTGCAATACAGGACACCATTAGAGGCAATGTGCATTGATTTTTTAAAGGCAAATAGACTATTCACTTTGCAAGGAAAGTTGCACTACACAAAGGTGTTTTCGCCAGAGCTAATTGAATGAGTTGAAGCTCTGCTGACTCCCAGCATCCAATAATGTGCAAGCAAAAACACATTTTTATTTCAGTGAATATCACTGGGTAATCTTTCCAAATTGAAATTTCACCATATTTCCCAAACTCTGGGGAAAATTCCATTAAAAAGTGCAACTTCCCTTGAAAAGTGACTTACAATAGTGTATAACTGTATAAAAGCTGATTAGAACGCTGGACAATGTTTATAAAACCACTGATCAACACACATGTTACGTAAGCATGTTTAGGAGTTCTTTACAACCAGTCAGATTTTGATCAGTTGGTACATGTGAGTCCAACGCACAGGGGCGGACTGACCATTCGAGCACTCGGGCACTGCCTGAGGGGCCGGGGTCAGTAGGGGGCCCCATAAATATACCTTTTATAGGCTTTTATGGATGTGTTTTTGAGTGTGGGCAAGGACACAGGGGCCCCATGATCCCCAATTGCCCGGGGGCCCCATGAGTTGTCAGTCCGCCCCTGCCAACGCATTTCAATTTCAAGATAATCTTTATCAGAAAAGATGGGTAGTAGGTTTGTAATATAAGTACATACAGTATATGAAAACAAAAATCATAAATGTATTACACAATAAGTGCTTAACATACAATGTCCTATTTAAGTACATGTGGTGAACCAGTTCAATTATGCATATTCTGATTTGTTGTAAATGAGGCATTTTGTGCATGAGTTATTTCTAAAGATACAGTATATGGGAATTTATTAAAGCTGACCATCTGATGTAGGGCTATTATTGCAGGCAATCAAAGTCTCATGGAAAATGCCAGTAAATTTGTGGAATTGTTTTTTCAACACTTCTTATAATAAAGATACGCTTAATTACTTCAGGTGATTGAAGATTTGGTTGTACCCGAACAGGCTATCTTAGTCCCCATTGATGTTGAATCGTTTACAGCTCCATTCCTCATCCTATGGGTATACAGGTATCTAAAAAAAAAAAATCAAAATTTTTGGACCTGGTATCCTCCCTTGCAAAATGAACAGTCTATCTGTCTTTAGTAAATCAACTCCAATGGACTCAACAGGGAGTGTACGGTTACTCACACTGTCTTTCCTGATAGTTTTATGGGTTGGTGGTTGCCTTCAGGCCTTCTTCTGGACTGACTCCTTCCCTGCTGCTCAGGCTTTCCCTCTTAATAGACGGTGGCACACTGGAGGTCCCCTCTTCCAGCACATGCCTGTAGGAAGGCCTTTCCCTGGACCCCCTCCCAGACTCCACAATCCAGCCTCCTACTCCATCTTCCACCCGATTCACTGACCACTTCCTGCTGAAAAGGCTCTATAATATCTGTGGGCTGTCTTGACCTCATGCCAAGCATTCTGCTTGGGGATAGTGTCAGGGCAGGAGCGGTGGAATGGGCAGGCAGGCCTAATGGTAGGGTCACGCAGCGACTGACGACAGCTGCTACCCACAGACCAGAGTCCCTCAAGGCGCGGAGTCTAAGCCCCAGGCTGCCCTTCACCAAAGCCCCTGATGGTGGGGATGGACTTGACGCAGCCTGAGACCAGGTCGCAGCCCCCGAGTAACCCCAGCTGCGGTAACCACTGCCGCCAATGGCGTACAGCTGGTGGGAGCCAGATGGAAAACGTTTTTTATAGCGTGGTCAGACAGGCCGAGTCGATAACAACGGAGCAAACAGTACAAGACGGTAGACAAGAATACTCAGGTCACGGGCCGGGTTCAGCAATGGGAGGTCAGGTAATAGGATAAAGCAGAGAATAGTCTTTTCCAAGCCAAATCGGTTACCAGGAGAGCAACGAGAACAGAACAAGAGCTTGCTGCAAAGGAACATACAGGACACGAATGCAAAGAGCAATTGCAGACAGCAGGCTTAAATGTGATCAGCCACACCCTTCTGGAGGAGGAGCCGCAGAGGCCTGAAAGCATAAAGACTCCCACCATGCTTTGCAGGAACTTAAGATGGATGCCAGCACATGGAGCAACACAGTCTCTGAGGAAAGGTAGGACCTTGACAGATAGGTCTAGATCCCTCAGACATGCAGATAAGCCCCTCCTCACCCCCACCCACTGTCTTCTAGAAACTTCTCAAGCTTCTAGAGCAGGGGGCGGTATCAGCCCTGACCTGGAATAACCTGCCTGACTCATCCCAGGCTTCTATTCAGCCGCTGCCTAAACAACTAGGCTAACTAGAGAAACGCTACATATATCTTCCTGATTACTAGTCTTAGATGAATTGCAGTGGGATTCAGTGATGTCACTACAGTTCCTCTTTAAGGCATGCCAAAGTGACTTCTTGGTCAGTATACCTGTGTTTCAGTTTAGTATGCCCGAAATGCTGTTACACATGCCTTAAATGGTAATGCAACTTGGTGAATCAGATACTGCTGGCATATCAGTCTGTAATCGTTCGTTGCCTGGCCATCATGCTGATCCTCTTGTTTCCAAGTAAGCCAGAAAGTATTGAAACCAATGGTTCAGCAAAAGCAGCTTACATTTTCAGAAGTAGCTTTCTTAGCAAAGGGATAAAAAAAAAATCTACAACCTGGAAACTACAGACAGACCTGGTGGTGAGTAATATATTCAAATCTCACCAGCCATTGTCAGTGGTATAGAGCAAGATTTGGTGTTGGGTCCAATTCTATTTAAAAAGGACAACAGTAGGGTTACAATAAAACTAAGTCAGTTACAGGCAGATGTTTGCTACTCTGCAAACAAAAAACAAGGATACTGTGACTCCAGTAAAAGTACGTTTACACTGTGTGGTCTGCTATGTTTAAAGGAACATACCTTTGGAAGGAATAATTATTTTGTATCATGCTTGCACGTTACGCATGAGCAAAATGCGTTATAATATTGGAAAGTATACTTCCTTAGTTTGTGACCTTTGTAACCTTCTCATGTCAATATACTAAAAATAGATTTAGGGTTTACATACACTCTAAACTCTTGGTGGCACTAGATATATGGAGATTTGTTTATCAATGGTTTCACTTAAGATTAACACATCTTTTATGCTTTTTTTTTCAATTCAGTTAAAAAAAACGTATTAATCTTAAGGGTCCATGCACAC